GATCTGTTTGTTACAATTACATGTAATGCAAATTGGCCTGAAATTAAGGCTGAATTGGCAGTGGCCGAGTTGCCACAAGACCGACCAGACTTGGTGGCGTGTGTGTTTCGAGCAAAGGTTTTAGCTTTGAAAAAAGAGATTATGGAAAACGAGGTCTTTGGTCAGGTTGCTGCTATGATCTATGTAATTGAATTCTAGAAAAGGGGGCTGCCTCATGCCCATTTTTTTTTTTTATCATTCTCAAGACTGGCTCCAAGTTGAAATATCCTGAGGATTATGTTAGGTTTGTTTGTGCACAGATCCCACCTACAACTGAACCAGTTCTGCGAAAAATTGTCCTTAAACATATTATGCATGGCCCTTGTGGGCATTTGAATCCACAGTGCCCTTGTATGCGTAAAAAGGGTGCAAAAACAGTCTGCAAGTATAACTTCCCCAAAAGGTTTGTAGCTCAGACAACAACTAATGATGATGGGTTCCTAACATATCGAAGAAGAGACACTGGCGAAACAGCAAGGGTTAGAGGTGCTGAGCTTGACAATCGGTGGGTTATTCCATATAATCCTTATCTTTCTGTTTTGTTTAACTGTCATCTAAACGTGGAGGTTTGTTCTACAATCAAGGCTGTCAAATATTTGTACAAATATGTGTACAAAGGCCACGATAAAGTCTCTTACAATGTTGTTCCAGCAAATGGACAAGTTGTAGATGAGATCCAGCAAATCCAGTCAGGCAGGTGGGTTTTGCCTGGTGAAGCTGCATGGAGACTCTTTGTGTTCGATCTGTTTGAGATGTCCCCTTTAGTTTTGCTAATGCAGGTGCACTTACCAAACCAGCAAACAATCCACTTGCATCCATCTGAATGGTTAAGTGGTGTTGTCAGGAATTCAAAACGCTGACATACACAGCTCACTCAATTCTTCGCTATGAATACTGCTGTTCATGGGGAACAGGGTATTTATATAGTGAATACTGTGAACATGATAGATGGGATGCATCAACTAAAGACTGGATTAAAAGAGCTTGTGACACATTCCAAGTGGGTCGCCTAGCTTTTGTTTTCCTAGCTGAAGGAGAACGCTTTTACTTACGATTATTCTGCTGCATGTGAGGAATCCTACTTCATTTGAACACCTCAGAACTGTGTCTGGGTCTATTTGCTCAACTTTTCAGGAAACTGCTTTAAAACTAGGTTTGCTTGAAGCTGAAGATCTTGCCAGTCTATGCCTCAACGAAGCCTGTGAAGTTCAGATGCCAGCTGCATGGAGGCGCCTGTTTGCAACATTACTGATATTTTGCCATCCAAGTGAGCCTGTTGCATTATGGACCAAGTACTATCCATGTCTGTCTGACGATTTCACCAGCCAATTTCCAAATGATTTGACTAGAGTTCGCCAGCTAACTGTAACATCTATAGAACAGCAGTTAAAAGCAATGGGCAGATGCCTAAAAGACTTTGGAATTGAAGAGGTCAATGAGCAGCTTGATACACTCATACGTAGAACAAAAGACATTGTTGATGCTCTGGATGCGCTTGTCCCCCAAGAGTGCATAGACTGCATAGACTGCAGAGAACGCTTAAATCCAGCTCAGAAAGCTGCTTTTACTTGTATTATGCAGCATGTCACGAGTAACCAACCAGGTGCTTTTTTCATTGATGGCCCTGGTGGCACAGGGAAAACCTTTTTGTATAATGCGCTGTATGCTGAAATAAGGCTCCAAAACAAAATAGTTTTACCAACTTCTACCTCTGGAATTGTTGCTGCAAACATTCCTTCTGGTCGTACAGCACACTCAAGGTTTAAGATCCCACTTGATTCTGATTCTTCCCTGGCATGTGCTATTCCGAAACAAGGTAGCCTTGCAGCACTTTTGAAAGAGGCAACGTTGATTATTTGGGATGAAGCTTCAATGGCACATAAAGAAAATATAGAATCTTTAGATTTGCTGCTGCAAGATTTATGTGAATACATCTTTGTTTGGTGGTAAATTTGTGTTTGGAGGAGATTTCAGGCAAGTCTTGCCAGTAGTTCCACGTAAGACCCAACAAGAGGCAGTTGAAGCTAGCGTAGTTACCTCGTACTTTTGGCCGAAGCTTAAAAAATTCAAGCTCACGGAAAATATAAGGGCACGAGATGATCCTCAGTATTCTGCTGGCTCACGGAAATTCAAGATAGATGTTGATGGCTCAGCGTTGTGCTCAGAGTTAACAGCAAAAACCCCAGCCCTATTAGCAGCTGCAGCTGCAACAATTTGCACTTTGGGGCCCTAATAGCAAAAAGAACGGGTCCCTCTTCAGATACCACGGCTTCTGAGCAGAATACTTAGTTGGTTTAATGATTTCCAGCCGAGAAGGGCGCAACGCAGGAGCCCTACCAGATAACCTCTCCAGGAATCTAAGGCCAAACTGCAGCTGCCTGGTGTATACGCCTAGATAACCAGGTGGAGGCCTGTGAATTCTATCTTCAGCTACGGGCATTTGGCACCAATCCCCATCTTCCTCCATTATGCCGTAGAATATTTCTATTTGCTCGGCGAAATGATGGAAGGCATCCCCTTTGACCCACCAGTCATAGGGGCAGCAGTCATTAACCCGCCATTTTCAGGCGGATTTTGCCATTCTACGGCTCCTTCCGGCAATCACCGAGGCCTGTGCCTAGAGCCGCTGGCTGAGGTTGTGGCCTCTTCCCAGCCTCTGTACGGCACCGAGGTCAGGGGGATTGCAGCAACAGGGGGCTCGTGAGAGGAAATCCTATCTTCTCTCCTCGGGAGTGGAGAGTTGTGGTTGTGGCTGAGAGGGGGCATTCGCTGTAAAGGCTGGCTGCGTCGAGCACCATCTGAAGATCTTCCTCCTCACTCGAGGAACTTTCCCTCTCAATTCTAAGTCTAACCATTTTTTACGAAGAAGTGGATACTGGAAAAAGGGTAAAATACTCGAAACAAGAAAAATCCAAAAATATTTCGGAAAAAGTTACCTTGACTAGACTCGGAATTCGCCGATCTTCAAGTTCGCAGCAGCAAATTCTAAATTCAGCAACGGAATTGCAGAGATTAAGGGCGACGAAAAGCTAGGGAGGAAATTCGTGTGTTTGTGAGAAAATGATTAAGGAAAGTGGATAGGGTGCTTTTACATGAGGATTTCAAGAATCAAAATTCTAAAAGCCTTAAACCGCCAAAAACCCCACGAATTCCAAATTAAACACAAATTGTCACACACGTTCCAAGTTAACTACCCACTAAATCCTCTATCTTCCTTAATTAATCTCCTTAATGACAGTTAAACATCATTAATTGCCTAGATTCCTTCAAAGTTCAAGATGCCGTTATTTGTCCTTTCAAATTTGCAAGTCGGACCTAACCCGTCTTACAGCCGCATCGGGTCGGGGGGGCAAGTTGTTTGGGTCCAATTTAGTCCATCTAATTGGGCCAATCCAAATAACTCAACTCAAGCCCAAAGCAAGGTTCAACTCTCCAAAAGGATGCTAAGGTCGATAAAAGCCCAGTCAATGTGGTCGGCCCACTTGACTTCAAAGGCCCAATTCTCCTCAATTGAGTCAAGGTATAAAAGCCATAAATTACATCCTTTTACATTCATGCAACTAAAGCTTCAAGCACTAAATCTCTTGCATAGCCTTCTCTCTCAATTGAACTAACTTTAGCATCGGAGGGGCCTTCCTTGGCAACCACCCCCAGGCTAGTTTACGTGTTCTTTGCTGTACAGGAAACCCTTGGCTCCAACATTCTTTGGACCGAAACCAGTCTTCTCCACCTTAAAAGGGGCCTGCTGAAGGTCCCATTGTTTTCATACCAAAATACATTGTTTTCCAATGTCTACACAATCAAATATTCATTTATTTACAATCTTTTCTTATGTTTGTTCACAGTGTAAGCAATGGGAACTCCTGACAAAGGCAAGATTAAGCTTGAAAACATGACTCTTGATGAACTCAGTCCACAAGCTCAGTCTTACAAAGTCAAGGTGACTATTGTGGAAATGGGAAGGCCCCAGGTTTCTCCCAAAAATGGAATAAGTTTCCAGACTCTCTTTCTCCAGGATGAAAAGGTATGAACCTAAAATACAAGTCTGCTCTTAGCCTCAACATAATATACATCACCTAAGTCAGCTTCATGTGGTTTTTATTCACCACTTTCATAGATGTACAAATAGTTAAATATGCCTTTACATGCAAAAAAATTGCAGTCAATTCTTGCCCAAATGATGTTATATTGCATGTATATGAAAGTGCATTAATTAATAGCTTATTTCTTTGCAAACACCAAAATTGCTACTTTGCATTGCATCTATAGAACAGCATTTAGAAGCATTTGAATAATATGTTATAATAGTTTTACAAGAAAAGAAAGTTCTTCTACAACTATGTTTACAATTTTAAATTGTAAGTTTTATGAATTTTTTTCAAGTTTTTTTTAGGTTGTGGTCTAATTTATTATCCTTAGCATTTAAATTTTCAAGTGCATCTTTTTTGTATTCCAAATGTTATTTCATCTGGACTTAAGTCCATTAGCTATGCTTCAGTTAATGTGAAAGGGTTTATGTTATGTAGATATTTATTCTAATTAGTAACTTTTGTAAATTTTGTTGAACCATATAAACTGGTTCAAATACTAGCGATTTCAGCTATGTTGTTTTAAGCTTTTTACAGTGTTCTGTGTGTTACACAATCAGAAAAGCAAGATATGTGTCTGATAATCATGAACTTAAAATGTACATAATTTTCTACATATAGTACCTAAGACTATCAGGCATAGTCGGCATTGCTAATATAAGTTCGTCTTTAGACTTTCCCTATTGCATTCTTTGAAACATATTTGATCTGCTATAATTATCTATACACACAACATTTTACAGAAAAACAAAATGCGTTGCACATTGTCTGGAGACCAAATCGAGGGATATAACTATGTGATTCAACACAAAGGAGAGTATGAAATCTCCGATGCTCCAGTGTTGTTCTGGATGAACACTTTCGAAACACTGATTTTGAGGAGCTTCCTCACCAGCTGAGCATTGACCAAAGAACTGTCATACAGCAAACCGATCCAACAGCAGGTCCTGTGTTGCCAGACTACCAACCCTTGGGATCCATTCCACGTGCAATATATGTTGATGGCAAATATGGTATACCTCTCTCACTACTTTATAAGAATTATATCAAATCCTTTTTGCAATTAACATCTATCCTAATGTGTATTCTACAGCTGTTATTGGAGTGGTCTTATTTGTGGAAGAACAAGCGCGTGAGATCATCTCTACCACTGGACGGAAAAATCTTGTTCATGAGATTGTGATCACTGACCAAAGGTGTAGCATATTTTTATCTGATTTATTTGCATCTTAGATATCTTTACCGCAAAATGTACAGCTAACCATTTGTTTACTTACCATTCTCTTTCACAGCAATGATCAACCTGTCACAATTGCAACTTGGAATGATTTAGCTGGAAGAGACTGTGACCTACTCACTAATTGGGCTGAGAAATTTCAAATTGTAGGATTTACATCTCTTCGCCCTGCCTCTCGCAGAGGTTAGCATGCAGTTCTATGACTCTATCAATGTATTTCTGCAATTTGGTGCCATTTACTTTAATCTGATTCCATTCCTGTCATACAGGTTTTGCCCTGACAACTAACATGTCAACACGAGTCATACATGAGCCAAAGGGATACGGGGCTAATGTTTTACGCGAATGGTAGTTTTTAACACACATTTTATTACAAAGCATTTGTTTTTTTTTAAAGGAATCTAATTATAAAGCTTATAAACTACATTTGTATACAATAGGGCTAGGCTCTACTCAACAATGCTGCTGGATAGGCAATCGAGGGTGCTCCAAGTAAGACACCCATGCGATGGGAAAACACTGCTAACAGTGGCTGAACTGAAGCTCAAGAAGGTGAGGGCAATTACATAACATGAATGTATTATATGATTTGTATCCTTTATTTAGATAGGCTTTATGTAACTGGTTTGTGTTATTTTGTATAGGCCTGCAATGCACTTCAGGATGAGCGCTTTTGGCTCAGAATGACAATCCCACAGCCTGAACTGGACAAAGTTAATGCATATGCTGGTTGTAGTAACTGTTCAGAGCGTACACATGTGCCAGTTGGAACACATTATCCTTGCAGTGTTTGCCGTAAACCAGATTGTGTCTCTACTCACAGGTATTGGGAAACACTTACATTGTATAGTATGCATTTCCATATACACAAACTAACGGATCTCCTTGTGCCCATTTACAGGATCACTTTTAAGTTTGACGCTGCAGATGACACGGGAACAATGTCATTCACAGCTTTTAACGATGATACTGAGAAGCTCTTTGGAAATTCAGCTGCTGAAATTTGCAGCATCAAAAACACTGTAAGTTTGTTTTCCATATGTACCAAATTTTAAAGTTTCCTTTAAGCAAGGCCATATCAAAAAGTCAAATATAAATAAATTCATATGCTTTACTCTCTTAAATCCTATTTCTTTCCGTATTATATGTCCTTTTTTCTACACTGTTGCATTACTATGAAAATATGCCTATTAACATCTCTGTTTGCTTTAAATGGCACATCTATTCAGAAAAGAAAAATGAAAAAATATAACTAATGCAGCACATTATTTAATTAGCATTTCCCAAACGTCTTTATCTTTAACAAAAATGAGGTCTCAGTTGGTATTCTACAACAACTACACAAGATTTATACAAGTTATAATGTTTAGTAACAGTCTTACCTGTTCCCTGTATAGTTGATACTTAACTTTTCCTATATTCAGCATCTATTTAACAAAAAACTAATTACTGTGTTACATGTAAACAGGAAAACTATGAAGCCTTTCAGTACATACAGTACTTACTCCAGATTAAGCCAATTTTAATCAAGGTTGGACCAACACTAGCTCTCTCAAGAAACAATGTTCTGCAATGGCAGCTGAAAGGTCTGGAACTGGAACTGGAACGTGAATCTGAAACTCCCAGCGCACCAATGAACTTGAAGCAGGCAATGAATGAAGAACTCAAGGAGCTTGTGCACACCTCAGAAGAAAACAAGTATTCGCAGAACAAAGAACTTGCTGTGTTTTATTCTGAAGAAGAAGGGTCTTCTGAACCTGCTGATATACCAGTTCCAGCTAGGAAAAAACTCCGCACTGGTCTCTTCTCTGAACCAACCTTGGCAACAAATCAAGCAGTCTCTTTGCCAGAAACATCAAAAGTTGCTGATCATGTTACTACAGCTCCTGTCACTGCTACTAAGCCTGTTTTAGCCACTCCAGTAAAGAAAGAAGCAAGCAAGGAGAGCTCATCTGCAACTTCTCCTAATCAGGCATGAACTTTTGAAGATCACTCTCTAATGGAGCATTCCACTTATCGTACATAGAACTCGCTGCAACACTAGCACCAGTGATTCAATTGCAGTGTATCTCCTCAGCAACGGTTAAAGTCTGCACCTACTTTTGTAAACTTTGTTCAATCAAATGTGCAGTTTGTTTTGGAAAGGTCTTACATCACTTACATTAGTGTGTGTTGTTTAAGAACCCTTAACTATCAAACTTAGCCTAAATATTTTAAGGGGTTTAAAGGAACATAGACAGTAGTATATGTTCCTAGAAAACACCAAAGTACAACATTAGCTGTGCTTAGCAGTTTATCTAAGCTTGTGTGTACAATGCTTAATTATTAATATATGCCTATTACCGTTGCTGTTAGCTCTTATCTCTCGTTATATCTATGTTTTTATTTTGGTTTTAAAGCTTACCATGTCAAAATTGTAAATCCTAAAGTTGTTGTTCTTTTGATCTAGCCTGTTGATGTCACCTGCTCATTCTTGCTATTGCAGCTTAAGGAAGCTAGGATACCACTGTTACTAGATTTCTCTTATATAAGCCCTCCTTGAATCTATAGAGGCTGCTGTTTGGTTCTGTAAATTCATATTGATGTTTTACCATATTATTAGCTTTTGTGTGCATTGTGATTTTATTGGAATAAACCATTTTATCCTTTACCATGTGTTGAATTAATATCAAATCCATAACCAGTGAGTTATGTTCTAAAGCATTGTTGCTTTAGTAATATTATAGCTCATTACAGACTTAAACTTTTGTAGATAAACTAAGCTTCTCTTTAATGAATTATGTATCATATATGCTTCCATTTCATTACTCTGTAATAGTTCACCATCACCTGTAAAATATTCTAACTCAAATATACTTAGCATCCAATCTGCAGTAGCAAGCCAAACTTATTTTTTTTCACAAAAAGTAGGAGATTTCAATTTAAGGTAATTTTATTCACAATTAATTTACCCTGCTCTGCTTAAACCTTTAGTGAATTCCCATTACCTTTGTTTTTTGCACATATGATTAATTTTATCTAAATATTGTCTCTCTTTTGGTGAATAAATACACTTGGAGCTGAAGTCTGCATGATATGCTACACTCCTCTGATGTTGGAAGCAAAAGATTAACATAGAATGCGTGCATTCGGGTTCCACTTGGAACTGCCAAAGCTCTAAAATAAGCTATATTGCATTAACTTTATAAAAACTCAACTTTGTTCCTATTTGTTAATTATATTGTATTGAAGACCTTAATCTTCTGTAGGTACTTGCACGAAGTCTGTATGCCATCTGTTGTACAGCAAAGTTTTAAGGCAACAATTTTTAATCACATATTTATACTGTGCTTTGTATGCAGCAGTACAATCCATAGGAAAGATTGTTTTGCCTACTGAAACTTCGGGTATTGCTGCATCAAATATTGTAACTGGTTGGACTCCCCACCGTCGCTTCAAAATACCACTAGAACATACTGTCTCCATGACATGCAATGTTTCAAAGCAAAGCATTTTAGCTACACTCATAAGAAAAGCATCTTTGGTTGACAAAAAGGGGAAACATTGAATCTCTTCACAACCTGCTTCGTGATCTCTGTGCTGAGTCTATACCATTTGGGGGCAAAATAGTTGTCTTTTGAGATGATTTTAGGAAAGCCTTACCTGTTGTCCCTAGAAATTCACAAGCTAAAGCTGTTGAGGCTAGCTTAGTTTCTTTTAATCTGTGGCATCACTTAAAGCGTTTCAGACTAACAGGCAATATGAGAGCGTGATCTAATTTAACTTTGCTGTTTTTTAACTAGCTTAATGATGTTTGTTTAGTTACTGAAAACATACTTGACTATGCATATATTGGATGTATTTTCCAGAGTTAAGAAAATTCCTGCACTTTTATAGGAGTATTTGGATGTATACTTGACAAAGCAAAATCAAGTAGAGGATATAAACAATCTGATGTCAATATCAACTATGAATCAATGCATTAGCTTCTACAATGAATCATAGGTGTAGAATGTGTTGATATGTATCATTTACTTGTTTCCTTGTATCAGGTGGCACTTGGCTTCATGGCGAAGAGAAGAGATCAAATCATGCATCAGGAGCGATGATAGCACTCCTTCAAGCTCTAACAGGACTTCTGTCTTTGCTGATTTGTTTGGCTCATTGTGCTACACTTTTCAACACAGGAAGTTCAGAAAGCCATATGGGGATATGACTAGGGTAGATGCTCAAATGGATATCAATCCAACTTTAGCTTTTGCTAAAAACATCTGCCATAGCTCAATTGCTCACTAGGATAACTTGGAAACTCTTCTAGGTAAAATTCTTAAAGCAGACTTTAAAGTTGCATGAGAGAGTATGCACTGTTCTTCCCAGTTACCTCTAGTGATAAGACTTGATTTTTTACTTCTGTGCTCTGAACTACTGATAATTTGAAAATATAAATGGGTTAATGTATCAGGCTCTTTGCTATATTCTTGACAAAAGGAAATGAACTTAAGACATCATATAGGATGATAAAAGATGATCTATTAAGTATTTGGTTAGAATTTAGATGTCAATGTGGTTAGAACATTCTAGATTATAAGAATTGCCTGTTTATGTGGATATATTTTAAGCAGCGAATAATAACTTCACACCTTTATTATATTAATTGTCACCATAGTCAATTTAGGATTCTTAATTTCTTATCATAGTAATTTACAGCTCCTTTTTTTTTCCACAGTTCATGCTATGTGAATAAAACAGAAATTACAGAAAATACAAAGTCTAATCTTTCAACCGAAACAAAGCAGGACTCCTAACCACACACATGTAAATATCTTATAACATAATAATCTCTTGAAGACTTATAACAGCCATTGTTGATGCCGTTTTCACCGACAAAACTTGATAAAAATAAGAAATTGTGCCAAAAACAAATCTAAGTATGCTTAATCACGGCTATACGTTCATGAACACTAAAAAACATAGGACTGCGTTTTTCTTTACTTCAGAATTCACTGACAGTGTAATAGATCTAGCCTAAATGATTAGCTTGCTCTACATTAAGTCACTGATCACTAAGTTGCACAATATATATTCATTTCTACAGGAACAAGCCCTGGATATGGTGCTAAATCTCACAATCTTTGTGGCTCAAGCTCCAAGGCAATTAAGATGGCTGGAACAGGTTTGCCAGTTTAGCTATCAGCTTCCCTTAAAATTATCTCAATATAATCAAATTTATTTGCGGAAGGGTTTTGTTCAAGTTTTTGTTCTGATATTATAATAACCTCATGTGACTGCCTAATTAGACTCCACAAAAGAAACTAATCTAAAAAGGGGACATATGCAGTGATAAGAAATCACAAGCAATAAATTTGTGAAAGTTTTCTATCAAAATAGAACTTCATTCACTTACATATCCTCTACTTTCCAAGCTCCCTGTTAAAATTGGGTGTGCCACTATCTTTATTGCTTTTAATCCATTGTTCTATTATTAGCACAATACCAAAACAAGAAATGACGTCAAAATTTATTTATCATACATTACCAACTAAATGCTTGCATCATAATAAAAAAAATTCTAAGGTTAATTTTTGCAACCAACTTAGTAGGTTTGTTTTTACAACTAGCCTACTTGAAGCCACAGCAAATGCATTACTGCCTCCTCGTTGGATGCAATGCTATTAAGATCAAATATTCTCAAAGAACAAAGACAAGCTTGAATCAAACAACACTTACACTTTAAAAGATCAAAATTTAGACATTTTCATAGCATACAAAGTGAAAACATTTTTGTTTAGCTAAATTCGTAATACCTACCCTCATTACACACACACACCCTACACCAAAACCATCATGTATATTATGCTACATTAATAATATCTACCCCTCATTACTTAAGATTTACACATGCATTAGCTCTATAACTGTTCATTAATTACGCTTACACACTTCCCGTTTCACTTCACCAAGGGGGGGGGGGGGGGGGGGGGTGTGCCCGCGTTGCGTGCGCTCCAACAACTAGTAAGTCTAAAAATATTTATCTACATAGTTTCCCTTATTAATACTACCAACAACAATATTTGTGACATAAAGTCTAACCGAAAGAACTCTTCAGAGATGGCTAACTATAGCGCTCGCATCACACATGTTAGTCACCCTAGTTATGTGAAATCTTTGATATAAATTGATCAGTTTATAACTTATTATAAATTATTATACTATAGCTTATCACATCGTAACGCGCTAGACGTGTGCTCCATATTATATTATATTATATAAACCAGCATTTCCTGACCCATGCATAATTATATTATATATCACATTAAATTATATAATATAAATTATATTATATAAACCAGCCGCCCGCAAGCATGCACTGTGCGGCTGTGCGTATGTGTGTGCGACTTTGCGTGTGCGTGCAATTGTGCGTGCGCTTGCGCCAACACTAGCCAAGGCTAGTGCAAGTGGCTTATCGCCACTCATACACCCGGTTTTGATAAAAACAAGGCATGGCCTCGGTTTTTCTCGAAATCGCGTAATTTTGACAAAATTGACTTAATTCGTTTAATTAAATTTAATTGGATTAATTTAATTAATATGGATGCAGGTTTTAGTGGGAGCGTCTTTAATCTATGTATACCGATATCTAACTGAATTAACCCCAGAAGAGACTCACTTTCCAAAACTTTATGAACATTCTCATCTGATGCTAGCAGAGAAACCCCACTCCGATCCATATCATCCGCATTGGGCAACACCTCGGCAATGACTTCCTATATCACATACTCCTTGACGTCCAATGTAGAGGCAACCTCAAGAATTAGTTTAGTCCTTGAGGCACAACCTAAAAGTCTTTCAACCTCTTGTAATTCTGTAAACACTTTTAGGTTTTTCGAATGACAATTAATTGCCTTGCAAAGGTCCGATTTGGCAGATTGAAGATCGCCTAACTCCTCAAAAGCCAAGGCTCTCCTAAAAAAGCCTTTAGTATGATAGGAGTCAAAACTAAACACAAATGAAATGAACATACCTTAATTGCTCTATCAAAGTCATGTAATTTCAAGGCACATGATGGAGGAGCCAGATTGAGATTTAAGCAAAGGCTAAGAAACGAAACATAACAACAGTCTCCAGAGTTGATGGCAAACAATGATAGTTGAATTCGCAATTATAACACTTGAAGTTATTTGCCCCAATGGTACGGTTCCTTGTGCTTAATATAGTTGTCCATAAGAGTATTTGAAGTACTAATTATAATTCACCAGAACATTGATTATTAACACCAAATTAAGCAACTAGCATTTTAAAAAATTCTATTGTAGGTCATTAGTGATTTAAAATTTCCGTTAACAAAAATTCGTATGTGATTGCATAAAAAGACGAC